AAAAAAATAATAAACAAATGTTAGCTTAAATTACTGCTTTGCCCAGAATGGAGTCCATCCTTTCCCCACCAGCCCTTTCTCTTTCCCCGAGTCTGTCCAACTGCTTGGCTCCATCAACTCCTCAGATGCTTAAGACTGAGACATGGTAGACACCTCAGGTGCCTTTCTCATCCCCCTCACCACCACCTTGTGAGTCACCACTTTGAATCCACTTACCTCTGAGTCCCATTAAAATATATACATGATACTCTTTTGATAAAATTAAGACTAGTGAAACAAACAAAAAATGTGTACTTTGAAAGAGGACAAATAGATGAAAGGAAAGGCTGGGGAATGGCAAGCACCAGATTCAAGGTGGCAGGTGCCAGGGCACGAGAAACCAGAGACATGGATGGAGGTGGGGCACAGAGGTGAGACAAGTCACTGACCATAGTCAAGCTTCCTCTGGGGCAGTGGCTTTCCAAGATAGTATATATATTTTTTTATTGTTGGGGATTCACTGAAGGTACAAGAAACCAGTTTACACCGATTGCATTTGTTAGGTAAAGTCCCTCTTATAATCGTGTCTTACCCCTAAAAGGTGTGGCACACACCAAGACCCCACACCCCTCCCTCCTTCCCTCTCTCTACTCGCCCTTTCTCCCACCCCCTTCCTCCTTCTTTCTCTCTCTCCTCTCCCCTTCTCCCACCCCCACTGTGTCATTAATTGTCCTCATCAAAATTTAGTACATAGGATTCATGCTACTCCATTCTTGTGATGCTTTACTAAGAATAATGTGTTCCACTTCTATCCAGGTTAATACAAAGGCTGTAAAGTCTCCATCTTTTTAATGGCTGAATAGTATTCCATGGTATACATATACCACAGCTTGTTAATCCATTCCTGAGTTGGTGGGCATTTAGGCTGTTTCCACATTTTGGTGATTGTAAATTGAGCTGCAATAAACAGTCTAGTGCAAGTGTCATTATCATAAAAGGATTTTTTTTTCCTTCTGGGTAGATGCCCAGTAATGGGATTGCAGGATCAAATGGGGGGTCTAGCCTGAGTTCTTTGAGGATTCTCCATACTTCCTTCCAAAAGGTTGTATTAGTTTGCAGTCCCACCATCAGTACAAAAGTGTTCCTTCTCTCCACATCCACACCAGCATCTGCAGTTTTGAGATTTTGTGATGTGGGTCATTCTCACTGGGGTTAGATGGTATCTCAGGGTGGTTTTGATTTGCATTTATCTAATAATTAGGGATGATGAGCATTTTTAGCCATTCATCTGTCTTCTTAGGAGAAGGTTCTATTCATGTCTCTTGCCCATTGATACATGGGATTGTTGACTTTTCTCATGTGGATTGAGTTCTCTATAGATCCTAGTTATCAAGCTTTTGTCTGATTCAAAATATGCAAATTTCCTTTCCTATTGTGTAGGTTGTCTATTTGCTTTAGTTGTTGTCCCCTTAGCTGTACAGAAGCTTTTCAGTTTAATTAAGTCCCATTTGTTTATTTTTGTTCTTGCAATTGCCACAGCAGTCTTTTTCAGAAAGTCTTTCTCTAGGCCAATACCTTCCAGTGTTTTTCCTATGCTTTCTTTGAGGATTTTTATTGTTTCATGTCTTACATTTAAGTCCTTTATCCATCTTGAATCAATTTTTGTGAGAGGAGAAAGGCGTGGGTTCAGTTTCAGTCTTTTACATGTGGATATTCAGTTCTCCCAGCACCATTTGTCAAATAGGGAGTCTTTCCCCCAAGGTATGTTCTTGTTTGGTTTATCAAAGATTAGGCAGTTGTAAGATGTTAGTTTCATTTCCTGGTTTTCTATTCGATTCCAAATATCTATGTCTCGATTTTGTGCCAGTACCATGCTGTCTTGACCCCTATGGCTTTGTAGTACAGTCTAAAATCTGGTATGCTGATGCCCCAGGCTTTGTTTTTATTACTAAAAACTGCTTTAGCTATATGGAGTCTTTTTTGGTTCCATACAAAATGCAGAATCATTTTTTCCAAGTCTTGAAAGCACGATGTAGGTATTTGAATAGGGATGGCATTGAATTGGTAGATTGCTTTGGGAAGTATAGACATTTTAACAATGTGGATTCTTCCCAGCCATGAGCATGGTATGTTCTTCCATTTGTTAAAGTCCTCTGCTATTTCCTTTCTTAGGGTTTCATAATTTTCTTTATAGAACTCCTTCACCTCTTTTGTTAGGTATATTCCTAGGTATTTCATTTTCTTTGAAGGTATGGTGAAGGGAGTTGTGTCCTTAATTAGC